TTATTTAGACTGTAACACACTCCAATGGAGATCATTAAACTATGATATTGTTAAATGAAACAACGGCTACAACTGGTAAAAAAAGGTGGGATGTCTATTTCAGTACCCATCTAAAGTAGATTTAAATGTCATCAGTAGTAATTCAATTCTATACACTTATATAAACACTTGAGCAATAATTGTAATGTTTTGATGTTGGGACAGCAAAAACAAAGTCCTGATTGCAATTCTTTACGAAGCAACATAAACAATTTTAAAAACACTTGCGCAATTGCATCCGGAACTAGTTTTTTAAATGCGTTAGTACTATGATGCCTTCGTGAAGGTCAATTAATACACGTTTTCTTCACATACGTTTACTACAAAAAGGATTAGTAGTTCGAGTAGTGTCTTGGAATGAACATCCTCTGGATCTTGCTGTTGATGGGCTTCGCCCTCCTGGCGATGGTAGGCGCCGCCCCGCAGGCCTCGGAGGATTACCAGAAAGACCCCCTTGGTTCCTTCAGCGTCGCCCGACGACAATATGGCCGTCGCAGAGGTCGATGGGGAAAATGAAATTGGTTAGTTACTGTCTACAATTTATCCTAACTATTTGCTGGGCTTCAAAAGTAGACTTAAACATTTTTATATTAGTTTATAAGTTTATTTTACACTTATTTATTTTATCGAGTTATATCAAATTCCATGTCGTGTTTATTATACTTTATACTTATTATACTTTCAATATTTTTTTATTAGATAGTCCGGTCGTATTTTTTATTTGTATTCTTTGTGTCTTGTGTTTTTCTACAGTCTACGTCCAGACCATTGGTTTTTCTAACGTTCGCCTGTGTTTAGTAGGTGTCTAGTTTAGTAGGTGTTTAGTAGGTGGTGTTTAGTAGATGGCCAAAATGACAAAACTAGATGGCCAAAATGACAAAACTTAGATTCTAAACACAAAACTCACCATTTTGGTGTAGAATGCATACAACTGGAGGTAAACAACTCATTAGGCTATGATTTTATTTGTTCATAACTGGCTATTGCTTAAGTTACTAGTAGTTCATGAACTGAAAAGAAAATTACTCTCTTGTTGGACTTTGTGGCTATTATCTATAAATCCTAATGCCATTGTAAACATCGTTTAACATCCATCATTCATCTAACAACCATTAGGACACAGTTTTATCAATTCGTATATCCTAAATCCATTTCACGTTCTTCAAAATGAAAATATATTTTTCTTTATTGCTGTGGTTTATTGTGCTGTGTAATGGTAAACTTCGAGGAAATATCAAGAGCAACTACCCAGAACCTTCTGGTAGATTCCACTCAAGGATTCATAGCTTTGCTTTCCTCAACAATCATCGACGACTTATATACACCCATCCTTCATACCGCGGCCATGGAAGAGGATTCTGGGTACGAGGACAGAGGTAATTATGCAATGAACAATTGTCAGTTTTACGTTCGCTTTGGCATAGCGTCCAATCACAGTTTTACGAGACTTGTCAGGGCGCATGCAGCAATTTTTACCTCCTAGCAAACATGTGTACGGATGTTAGATTATATAGAAAGGGAACAAATGGATAGTGGACCTTTGGGGCCAGTTTTTGATTGCATATAAGCTACTCGATGGTTAGTGCGTTTTTCTTTCCTACGACCCCCACACAACAGACCCCCACATGACCCCCTGTGACCCCACATGGGTTTTCCCATGGTTTAAGATGCACTCTATCAAGAAAGGTTCTTGAATAGCTAAGATGTTCCTTAACTAGACGTTTTGCAATATAATTATATTTTAAGTGTAATGCAATCTAAAGAGCATAATTTGCTTCTGTAGCCAGCTAACTTTTCATAAACAGTCAATACAATTCAAACTTCTAGATTGTTTTTTTAAATATACCTTGATGCAGGTTTTTGTTCTATACTACCAGTAGTTTAGTGGTTGAGGTGTATAGGGTTCCAATGATCCAATAACTAGAGCGTAAAGTTGCAATTTTCGAGACTTGGGTTCGAATCACACCAATCATCAATTACTTTTGGCTTTGCGGTAATTCGATGACTCGCTTGTCCAAAGTCCAACTAAAAATGTACATACAATTATTTAGAAACAAATTTTTTTAATTTTTTTTTATGATGTGAGAACTTCCGTCGTGTCGGAGGGATCCCTTTGCTAAAAGAAATAAGATAGTTTTATGTAAATTTAACAATCAGCCACAATATATACCAAAATATCAGCTAAAAATAGGCTTTACCTTCGTCACTGCAGCTCAAAATCTTGTGGTGTAACTATGTTACGGCCGTTTCGGCATTACAATGCCATCGTCAGAGGGTGACATGTTCCCGTTCCGAGCAAAAACCGACTGGATTTTTGCTGTCGGTTTTTGCTCGGAACGGGAACATGTCACCCTCTGACGATGGCATTGTAATGCCGAAACGGCCGTAAAAGATTTTGAGCTGCAGTGACGAAGGTAAAGCCTATTTTTAGTTATTATACAGCTCAGGGGCTAAAACATGGATTTTAAAATATCAGCCCTTGGTATATTGTGCAGGGTACATTCTTGACCCTGATACTGTACTGATAATATATTTAATGGGAACTACCTGCGAAGACCTTAAACGATTGTATTTATAATATAGAATAAATAATATTGAAAAAAGAAAAATGATAGTGCAAATTTGATAAAAATATATGGTCGGTTCTATAGAATCCTTATCGATAAATGGGAGTATTCAGTATCCTAAATGATTTACCTCGGGATCGTGGATGAATAGGAAGATTTACTTATTTCAGGAGAGTAAATCTATACATTCAGTATCATTAAGTATCTTGTATGGTATTTCATAATTAAGTTTACTGAATACTATGTTTGTTTCAGGTAATCTTATTATGAATCCCTCCAACCGTAGGGATTGAAATAAGTTACATGAACACATGATATTACGGATTCTATAACTTTATAAAGTATAACTGTCAAACAATATAAACGTTTAAACTTAAGTTTTTGTTTTTATTACCAATCTATTGCTACAAGCCACAACTACGTTTGAACTTTACACTCTAACATGTGCTGTAACTTCTTTACAATACTATATAAATTTTCTTAGATATTGTTTTAGTGAGGTTTTATTGTAGAAACACTGATATGTAAGTACATTATATACAATGATTATAATAATTAATACTTTTTGGTAACTATTCATCAATAGTTGATAAGCAAGAGAGTAAAATAAATTATAATGTATATAATTGATTACTATAATTTGACAGATATAGTTTATAAAAACTTTATATTGTTGCTACATGATTTGATTTGAATAATAAATAAAGAGGTGCACATACAAATCTAACTGATGTTTACTACGTCTTTATAATAATCACTGATACAAGGGACCATTTAAATTTGTATCCTAAAACAAGTATTGTTTAACAATATATATATATTTTATTTTACGGCTTTAATTACAGTTTGTTAGTTGAGGAAAAATAATTGGGCGAAGTTTTGCATGCAAACAAATATGTGTACCACAACATTTTTGATTTGTCATAAAAGGAAAACATAATTAATTAAAACAGTATTAATATTTAATTACGGATTAAAATTATTAGTAAGGAAAACGAGAATAAATAGAAGGTTTGTATACTTGGCGGAAGTGTCTCCCAGGATGTCACGGAAACCCTTGGGGTAGGACGGAACAGTTGCTGGTGGAACGAACTGCTTTTGTGTGAGGAAGAGAAATGAATAAATATGCAAAGTAAGCAAATTTCAGTTTTATTTTACCGAGTTAAGTTAATATTTGTTCAACATCCATCCTCTACTAGACACAACGAATCCTCTCTAGTTGGTGAAACTATTAGGTGTTATGAGGCAATAAGGAATTTCCCATCATTATAGGTAGAACTACAGGGTAGTCTATTGTCTGAGGTTGAACACTACTCGGAACAACAATGGAAAACACGTGTCAACGACACGAACCAAGGCATTTTGTGATACAATTCCAGTCAAATGGTAATAAATTAAATGAATTACTTAAGTACGTGGTGGACAGACTGAAAAAATAATTGTTATCCTACTGTGAGGAAAGCAGGAGTTTTTAGTTCTTAAGATCATCTGCAAAATCATCGTTTTTGGGTAGCTTCAAATAGGGAACAGAAAAAAAAACATTTTGGTCTTATAACCTCAAATTTTTATCAGTGCATTATGAAAAAGCTGCTAATCACAGGACATTTAAAGTTATCTTTGTAAACAACAGATATGTAAACATTGATGACGACCTTGTATAACCTCAAATTAAGTGGTATAATTTTGTAACGATTAGAAGGTCCAGAGTATGATGAAAATATTTGTTCATCACACGAAATGAAAATGTCATTTTGGTGCTCTTATTTCCAAGCTCGGGTGCACCTCACCTTTAAAACACGATTGCGTTAAAAAAAGAGCCACTTTTGCTCCTGACAACTACTATAGTAGCTATATTATACTAGGATAAGTAAATTTAGACCAGGGAAATCAGCTTACCGTGTTCTCTAGTCCTAAATTTAGATAGGTATTGTAATATAATTTTTTTCATTTACATTTATCTGTAGTATAAAATAGCTACCTTTTTGAAATTCAATTCTTTTGTATACAACTAAAACATTGAATAATTTTTCATGGTCAATCATGTTTATCATTGAACGTATCCTTGGCAATTTTCAAAACGATGTGCAACGGTAAAATTCTGCACCTCCGTACGATGCAACAGTGAATCTTCTCATTACAGTACAGCAAAGTTGATATCACATACCCAAATTGAAATATTGTACTCGAAAAGCAATGAAATTCAATAATTTAAAACTACAACAATTTTTGATATAAATCACGGCTGATGCACTGATAATTTTCACACGCGATAGTATAATCAGGAAAGTTCCAGTTTTGTATCAGTGACCTTGGTGAAACAAAAGGTTATCATAGCATTTCCTCTTTACGAACTGATATAATATATGAGCGCTCCCAATGGTTTTTGCCCCACACCATGAACATCTGGCTGTTCTTGCTGTTTGTTGCGGGGAGCTTCGCCCTCTTGGGTTTCTCGGAGGCTGTCCCTCAGGTACCACGTGGTCAAGACTCTCCAGGGACCCTTGGCGCCTCTCGGAGGATGGGTAACGGAATGGGAGGAGGTCGAAGTCAAGGCAAAAGAAAAATGGGATAGGCATATAAGTGTCCAGGTTGGTATTGCAGTACATATACATGCTTATACAGAATATATCTTTAATGTTTCTATTTAATTGAAAAGAAATCAAAACCAGAATGTAAAGTGGCTTGAATATCATAGGAAGCAAAACATACTCTCTAAATTTTAACATACATATTTTCAATGCATAAACTAAAATTTATGTTGTGTAGTAAATAATTTCTCAATTAATTTATATCAACATTTTTATAAAAAGAAACTCGTTTTGAATGTTTGCGTTTTTAAATACTCAGTAAAATAAATTAAGCTACATTTACGAATAAATACTGATATTGTACTTTACTCAAATTCTATTACAAGAACGATTTGCAGGAGAAACAGATTTCTTCTAAAACAAATGCCTCAAAATAATTTTGACATTTGGATTGTACCCGATTTCCAAATTTTCATCTGAAGTAAGCACGAGTTCTCGATAACCCGACGCGCACAATCACACAAGCGATAGACTCATCAATCCAGGACAGCTCCCGTGGGACAAGACAGGAATTTGCCTCACTTCTTCACGTTCCTTACTTGAGATATTTTACTCGACGGGGATGTTTGGTGCTTAACACATTTACCGAGGGTTAGAAAATATTTGTTTTAATTTAAATACAACTTTATGTTATTTGCTTCTCCAAGTACACGGTGAGTAATTTAAAATTAAAATTAAATATGGCCCAGTAGTTTCAATTTCGATTTGTTGTGGTAATTCAACTTAAATAGATATAATCTATATTTATAAAAGAGGAAGTTTGTATGTATATATATTTGAACGTTATGGACTCTGAAACCGCTCGACAGATTGTAATGAAACTTTCAGGCATTATTCAGCATTATTCAAGGGTGGTTTGTGTGAAGTTTGGTGCAGATCCGTCAAAAGGGCTCCGCCCCAGTGGCTCTGGAGTTTCCCATGTTAACCTTATGAGTACTTATACTCGTATTTAAATGGAATTAAAGAATCTTAACAGCTGTGTAAACCAAACAATTTGATTCTGTGATGATCAATAGCATCAAAAGGTTACAAAATGTACCAACAGGGTGCAGCACTATTAATTGTCTAAATTTATGACAACAGTTGCTAATTTCAACCAAGCAGCTGTGATACAAAATTAACCGTCAAAGTAGGATTGTTTACAGTTATGTTTATGTTTTTAATTTAATATAGTTATTTGTGTAACTAGTGGTGAAAGTGGCACTTTGCTGCACACGAGAGCAATGTTTACGCACAAGCCGCAGGCGAGTGCGGAATGATCTCGAGTGCAGCAAAGGCCTTTTTCACTCGTGTTACACATTATATTTTTCCTACAGTCACTATAAAGCATATAAATAATTAGTCTTTCAAACACTATACAACACGTTTTTAGGTTCAGCTGGCAACACAAATGGTGTCCTAGAGAAAGTAGTACCCGCGGTCCGTATCACTCCGCTATTTTTCCTCGGCAAGAAATGTGCTCCGCGTTTTGAGAATATAGTTCCGTATGTTTTTGTAATTTGAAGTGGTTTCCGCGCCTAAAAAAATGCTTTAAAGGTATTTCCTCGTTTATTAAGATCGTAGGGATGTTTTAAAAACGTTTAAAAGAAAAGTCCAGTAAGTTCAGAAATACCGAAACTATAAACACGAAATGACAGGTTAAATCGTAGTTATAATAGTCAATCAGCTGCTCATAGTTTTATATTTATATTATTATCATTAAGTGTTGCCAACCTATTTTCAAGCGTACACAGATTACGTGCATAATAGAACCACGCTGTTTTGTGTTGTTTCGTTGGAATCCTGATGTGCGGCAAAGTATAAACCGTACGGCAAAGTATAAACCGTACGGCAAAGTATAAATATGCAGCAATTAGCAGCTTTCTGTACTATAAACAGTACAAGGAACCCAACTTTGTCGGGTGACTGTAGGAAAAATAATTTTTGATAGTGTGTGAATAAGGAGTTTTATTTTTAAGTGCGTAAATCATTAACTTCATTGACATCATTGACTTTCTTTTTTCCAAAATGTTTATAAAAACCTATTGAATTTGTATGGTTTATTTCCCAAAAATAATGTATGGGAAATAAAAGTAACCAGTTAATATTTTAAGTTAATACTTTTAGTGGATTACTAAAAGTTTATCTACATACAGCAGATCTATGGAATAATAATATTCTCTTAAGCGTTCTCTTCCCGTTGCGAAGCACGGGTATGGTGGCTAGTATACACATAGAAATGAACATATTATACCGTATGGCTAGTAAAGCTAGCCTGCAGAGATTGTTTAAATTTATAAGGGAAAAATAAATTCTTTAGAGTAAAATAACTGTTCTTGATATAAAAAAAGGAAATCTACGACAAATGCAGCTGAACAACAAGTCCAGTTAAGCACTGTGAAGATAGGGTAATCTCCCAGGAAGAGAGACCTACATAGCCAAAAAGCCATGATTGACTATGTGTTTTATATAGTATGGAGATACGATTTGGTACTAGTCTGTAAAGCTGGGTTTTCCTAGGCGCGGAGTCGGCGAGCGGAGAGAGGAACGCGGAGAGCGGACTCCACTTGTCAATTTAATGTTGCTGTTTTCCTAGAAGCGGAGCGGAATGCCATGTTAATTTCAATTCCGCTCTCCGCGTTCCTCTTTCCGCTCGCCGACTCCGCGCCTAGGAAAACCCGGCTTCGATGGAGCCGCCACACTAGCGATCTCCCAGTACAATCATTTACGCTGACTAAACTAACTGCAGAAAGCTAAATATACTTTAGTGGTATATTTTTTTCATTTTGATCAATTAATAATGACTCAAAACAATCGCTAACTCTGACTCTAAAACTGATCTTTGACCTTGAATAAATTTTCCTTGTAAAAAAAGTAACATGCAAGGGATTTTAAAAGTATTATAAAATAAATCCCAAACATACATACGTAAACATATAGAATTTATAGTATTACGATACTTGTTGTAATTCATTATTTTTGTCAAACTTCTTTTTTGATCTCATTTGTGTTAACGAAAATTTTGTTCCATAGTGTCTCTGATGCTACTTGGTGTAGGTAAAACTTACTTTAATATCAGCTTGGTAACCTCAAATATAGAGCAAAGTATCATAAAGTCTTAGCTCATTTCCTTACCTGTTCAAAGCGAATATTAGGAAATTGAATATGTTATCTGTTAACTTCATCAGGTCTCGTCATCCTTAACCAAATAAATATTGGGTTAAGCAATCATACAGCTCTAATTTCTTCCAAAAGGTAACTTCTAGTTAGTTCCAATTATAGTAATCCGTACTGTAACAATACGAGGTAAGGCTTTATAATATTAGGTCTTTGAAGTGAATAATTTTTGTTTCAGATTTCAATATGTTCAAGTAATAAGGGATATACGGTCTTCTATGGATTGGACACACACCTCTGAAATTTGACTTAAAGTTACAGATTTGTTTAAATCGTTTCGTTTACTGGTATCGTGAAAATTAAATAGGTAATAGTTGTTTGTGATAGGAATATACTCAAACATATTGTTTATTGAAAAAAAGAGAACAGTTTTATGTATCTAATATAATAGAATATTAATTATATCAAAGTTATTTAGCCTAACACTATTTGACTATTTAAGTTACATTTTAGCAAGATTAGGATTCCTTTATGTAAAAAAATAAAACATTCTGACAAATCTCACTGCTAAAGCTTATATTACTCAGCTTTGTTTTTGTTTTTTGTTGACCTTACTGGAAAATCTCCTGGTATCGTGTTTGGTATCAATTGAAATCACTATTCAACTACATGATTTATTTGTTGACAATGACTGGTCATAATAAAACGAAATTTAATGCGTTGTATTGGTATCGTTATATGCAATTTGTGTCTTTATTTGAGATTAGAATATCATAATATTCAAATCTTTCTTTATTTGTCTCTATTTTCAATTTTTTAATACTATTACCTAATGTTATACAATTGATTAAAACGTAAATGAACATTCACAACTTGGTTCGATGCGTTTTTTATTTTTTCGAAGTTTTTAAAGTTTAAAGTTTCTTCTTCAATTTCATACGCCGAACTTGAGCTACCAAAACCCAATACATCTTCTCAATGTTTGGTAAACAATTCCATTAAAATACCCAACAATTTACTTATGTATGTGATGTTTCGTAGTTTTACCAACATTATGCGCACAAGAACTTATTATCAATATGTAAGTGACTTGGTTTCAATTGATGAAGCAAATCAATCATATTAGGAAGGTAATTCGAATTTAATCAATATTATTATCTTTCTAGTTGTATTACTTCTAGTGTTGGCCAAAACAGTAATACAGACAAACTCATAGTAGTGAAAACCCTCACATTTATAGTAAAGTTAAAAAATGCCAATATAATTAGAACACAAAAAAGGTAAATACAAAATTTTACAAAATAATTCACACCATTATTTTGCATCAATATTGCAATCTTACGGGACTGGGAGTTGCGTATTTTGTTACTAAGCAGGCAAGTCTTGTTAGCCTTGGAACGATCTTCACCATTTAACAAGTTGAAGACGAAGAAGGTCATTGAAGGTGAAGGACATCAAAGGTGAAACACATTGAAGTTGTATTTGATTAGCTTACATAATTTTAGTTGGTAAAAAACTAGTAATATATTAGAAAAGTATTAGACAAAATATTGTTTTTATTTTAAACACAAATATATGGTATTTTAAACACCTTTTAACTTAAAAACAACTTATTTCACATAGGCTTTACATCTGTTGGAAATGTAAGCAACAGTGTAGTGCTTCAGTGTAATTAGCGTAACAGAACCTTTACACATAAATTATGAAGTCTTCCTTCGTCTAGCGTGAAAATTCACGCTAATAGATTATAGATAACTTAAATAAGTTAAGTGTTATAGATAACCTAAATAAGTTATATATTTATTTATTTTATTCCAACAGAACACCCATTACATTGATTCATATACAATAATAAACTTGACAGTTGCTTTGGTTTTACTGTGTTTTAACACTCGACAAATAACACGATGAGGGCCTAATAAGTTTCGCGATTGCCAAGGAAAACGTATACTAAGTGACGAAAATAAAGACTTACAGGTTGACTATCGTTTATCCAACAACAGGCATTCTTAATTAGCAAAATCTTTTAAAATACACATTAAACCTTTTTAAAGTTGAACAACGAATATGCTGATTTTTCACTCAACAAGGTACAGTTGAGTGGAAAATCAAAAAAGGAAAGTAATCCAGGGTTATGGTATTCGGGAGTCAGTGAAAGGGAAAGCAAAACTTGTGTTTCTGGTTATTGCACTTTTTACTATATTCTGTTCAGGGTTTCTTTTGAAGTTGAAGAAACAATCTGAAGTTAATTGAATGAAATTTAATGGTTTAATTATACAAGTAGGTGAGATATAAGACGTTGTAAACAAATTCCAAGTGTACACATTTTAAATCTTTTTGACATAATACACTACATGAAATAGTTGTACAATAAACCACGTTTAAACTCTACTTCACGTAAACATTTTCGTATTATATATACAGTACATTTATAATGCATATCAAACATTAATATGCTGTTTAAAGTGTAGTTCTGGTTAAGTATAATGTAAGCTACTTACTTAGATGATAACATTATTGCCAAAACAATTCAAAATTCAAATAGCTGACATAATATTGCAAGCGGAAACTCATTGAAAAATATCAAACAAATGTTGACGGGGAAACGGTTTGGAAATATCTTTCTGATAAATACAATAATTATTACTCTTTTTAAGCTCTCTGAACTGTGAAAAATCACAATAACATTTCCGGACTGATAACCCTTTCAATTATTGACCAGCTGATAGCCATTCAAAACGTGCCATTTCAGGACAACTTTTATTCAAGTCATCTGTAATACTAACCCTTGTGACACTATTATTCATGTCAAACCAATTATACTTAAAAGTGGGTGCAGAAATCATTTAAATTGTAGATTTGCAGTTATGTTTGCTGTTGTTTCCGGATGTGGTATAATCATTATCACCACACTTGAGTGACCATTCCAGGAAGTACTTCCACAGTTTCCTACTCAAGTTAAAACGTAATTACTTATTCAGCCTCTCTTCATTAAGTTGATTTTTTTTAATGATGAGATTAAATGTATTTGTACACTAATAAATAAAAAAACCTTTGGATAAAACACACACTCCACTCGTGTCTAACTGTGCATATGCCTGTAGACATACCGTATACATATCTTCCGACGATATTAGCTCACGACATTATGAACACCATTGGAAATACTGTATAAACAATGTAACTGAGTTCATAAGTCGCACATACCATCAGCTTAAAGTTAAAACTTAAACCTCGTACCAACTACCAAAACTTATTTGGAATCATTAACATTAGGTAACGCTCTTGATGAGCTTTTCATTTGAAGAAGTAAACAAACATTTTAAAACCAATCTAAAGCAAACTTGGTCAGTTCAATAATAATTTCCAAACTCCACCATGTTCTTACAGTCACTTTCATCCTATCAGACTGCTTTCCCTAAAAATGCCACTTTTAGGGGTTAAAAAGAACAATTTCAACTTCTTATTCTTATTCTATTTGAAAAATAAGGGTGAATTGAAATTTCATATTTTTGGTCTATTTATATGCTAAATGTATTTAGGCACCTTCACATTGCACAGTTATGCCCATATGGAAAGTTTTATGTCAATTATTCGTCTTGTCGTTGACGAGATATAAGTTGACCCCGCGTAATTCAAAAATAATTATTAGCAAATTAAATAATAAGATTTGTATCTTTTTGGTACTAATCTAACTACAAAAATGACAGGAAAATAATACAGCAAGTTTGATAGTACTGGATGTTATAAGCAATTTTAAGAACAGTATATTTTGAGACTCTTTATCACTCTTTATCACATACGATTGATGTAAAAATAACGAGGGAAGGTATAACGTCATAATAAAGAGACAATTGTCTCTTACCTAATGTAGCGATAAAAATAAGAACCATATACCTATATTTATTTCACATACAATTAATTTCACTCTCAAGCTGTTTAACTGCATGGTAAAAAAGTATTTGCGTCTGAAAGTGATGAATTATCATTAAAGTGCCGAAGCCATGTTTGGGCTTATTTCCGATGTCTGGTAAGCTGAGGAAATTGAAAATATTATCAAATTATCAATAACGTCTAAGTAAAATGAAGATACCATAATCGAACGTCAAAGCTCAACAATTTGTGCTCATTTCACATTATGTGAATTAAATCAAACAATTCACTCGTAGTCAGCCGTAAATATAAAATCGACAGTTAATTATTATTGGTAAAATTCACTGTACTTATGGGAGTTAACAAATTAAATAATCGATATCAGTAAATTGACACATACATTCTCCCATTATTAACAACCATTATAATGAGTATGCAGTGGGAGTCAAAATCTCGATTGCAATGACCTTTGAGCCATAATTTTACGGTATTGGGGGTTGTACCGGTTTGTTAAGAGTTAATAGGACCATAAAATACAAAATTTTAACCAAAATCGTTCGAGCAGTTTAAAAAAATCTCATTTTACATAATTTTATGGGAAACTCACCATTTTAAACAAAGATTAAAAATATGATGGAAAACACCTGGATATACCATGAAGTAGTATCCATATCCAAATTTGATCAAAATCGGGCCACAGTCGTAGGCTGTAGCTCTGTACACACATACCCACAAACACAATTCGTTTCTAAAACTACTCTTTTGGGTTCACGGGGACACAAAACGTATATTTCCTCTAAAACTCACACTCTAATATTGAGGAAAACACTTCTTTCTTCATTCACCCTGTATAGGGGAATAGTAATAGGATCAACGAATTTTATAAAAGTAATTACATTAAAAGTTCCCTGCACAGATTTAATTCCAAAGATTTAGTTATTGACACCCATCATCACATTTTGTGTTATGATGCAGACCAGCTCATTATGTTTAGTACGCCCTCATTCTTATCTTAGGATGTTATACTCTAGCCCGTAAAAATTAAAAAATGCTTAAGGCTAGATTGCACCATTGTCACAGAGGTAAAGGCATTGGTGATCTGCATGACTTCAACCCTAAACCTCGAGGAACAAAGCCCTGCGAAGCACTACCACTAGACCAGCAACCACGTCGAGGGAAGACGGTAGGACAACACTTATTGTCAACGTGCTCGACACTCAAAAGACAATTTAAATTAAATAGCCTACTGGTTTGAGCTTAAATATATGATACATTGTTGATTTGTCGCAATGCTTGGTTGCAATCGTGTGTTTGTGAGAAAAATGGTTAAAAAACACTGTATCTTCCTTTTTGTTATTTTTAATTTTTTGGTAGTCTTTGGCGTTTGAATACTATTTACAATATTCACAGCTATTGCCATCACTTACTACGCCTATTACGTTATGATGTCAGTTTCTTTCACCTGCAGACGGAGTAACTTAGTCAGTCATAGGAAAAATGTTGGCAATAATCAAAATTCTTCTTCACATTGGTTAATTTCCTAGCCACCTCTATTAATTGACTAGATTGCATAAGCAAATATTAGAA